GTGGTCCGACTTTGGAAATAATTATGCATACAATGGACTCAGGACAAGGTGCGTTTCTATAAGTCTTCCTAAATGACCAAGATGCGAAAAAGAGGTCAAACAACTTTTATGCTAATTGTGTCTGTCCATATTCTGGTTTAGCCTGCCACGCCTGCTTTTCGTTACCCCCTTGATACTTCTTTTAATAGTTCACATGTGAGCTGTTTTACTCGCCATTACGTTGCAATTTTTGCTTTCGAAGAAGCAGGTTGTTGACTTACAAAATTATATCGCCGTCCTAAGCAATTTTGACAGAATCGTCTTAGTGTTAGCTTTCTTATATTCAGAGAGTATCCATAAATATCTAAAGCTTCACTATCTCGAATTAGCATTTAATATTTACCTGTGTAAATTTATCCTCCATACTTGCCAAGCAACTTAAGCTTTGATGTTTCGCAAGAAACACTTGAGTTGTCCCGGTGAGATCTCTCATTTTTCACTGTTTTTTCATCAATTGTTATAATTTATCTATAAAAATGTCGACTGGATAGTCGCTTCAACAGGAAAAATGAACAATTATGCTCTTAAAATATTTTCTATTTCCTCTGTATCTTCCTTCCTGTCCATCACCACTCTGATACATCCTTTGTCAGCTTGTAAGACTATTTGATCGTTTCTTCTAATTCTTTTATTTATCTTGCTTAGATTGTTCCTATCCGCGTGTTCTTTATGCGCAAAAATTGTTAGAATGATTTCCATTTCCAGCTCTATTTTTGATTCTTAAGTTAGTTTCTCAGAGGTATTTATCACCTCCATTAAAATTGCACTTGGGACTAAAATGAAGGCAATCAAGGACCTTTTAGGTGAGGTGATAAATACCTCTAAGAAGAAAAGTGAAGAATAAAGAGAGAGCTAAAAATGGAAATTATCCCCAAAATATGGGCGCATCAGGAGCCCACGGATAGGAACAATATAACCAAGATATATAGAAAAATGAGAAGAAATGCTCAAATAGTCCTACAAGCTGACAAAGGTGTTACAGTGGAAGGAATATACAGAGAAAATATAAATATTCTGAGGGACACTACAACTTATCGACTTTTAGCAAAAGACCCTACAGTTTAGCTCAAAGGGGCACTACAAGAAATGCTGAAGGGAATGACTATGAACGGGGAAATCGATAAATGGACAATGAATTCATTCATTCCAAAGGATGCGCAGCCGCAGTTGCATACGGGTTGCCGAAGGTACAGAAAAAAGGAGAACCATTGAGACGTATAATCAAGAAAAATACGAACCAACACAAATTGGTTAAATTTATGTGCATTTAATTAAAGAAAATGAATAACGAATTATCGAATACAGTGAATAACTCATACGAATTTTGCCAAAAAATCCAATTCACCAATTTTTTGTTACTATCTGTAATTTTTCTTATGTTCTCTGAGTATATTTCAGATTGTAATGGTGACTACATATTTACCTCATCGACAATACCAAAGTTAAATTCATTAAAATCGTGAGGCATATTCGTATAATTTAGGGGAAATTTCCTTACCATTCCTTGAGAGGCAGGGTAACTAAGTTCTTATCAAATAATTACTTATTGCTATTAAACGTTTATGTCTTACCACTATATCCGCATCGTTAGTGCCTGTTTCAGCAAGATTTGGATGGTGTATTTTTTCTACTGGAAAATTTGATCTATCTAATCTTCGAATTATCATTAAATACC